GAATGTAAACAACACCTACCTCAGGAAAACTTTAACAACAGGTTTTGTACGTAATGGAGCACTGAACGTCAGAGTGACGGAACAAGAATTGAGCTTTTTTTGAAATTGCACAGGGCCTAGGATGAGTAAGTAGGAGTTCGGACTTTGATGAAAATAAGGGTGACTAACTTGTTTGCGGTAGAGAGCAGCGTGGTCACAGTTACTCATAGAGTGAGTCAAAGTCAATAGGTAGGTACCTAGTTTGGTCATCCCACAATGAATTCGTTAATATTAGGTGTACCTACCAATAAGTAATCCACTATTTCTCGACAAATCGATATTGGTATTTTGTATACAAGCCAGAGACGTATATACTGTTTAATTTATATTCATTTGTAATTTTACCATTCCCCAAACCCTTTTTACTCAAAGGAAGCTCAAGAAGCCACTTTCAATTTCAAATTATGTCGTTTCATAATTAAAATGGTAGTGGATTGCTCATTGTGACTATCTAATATTGTATAGGTTAATTGTAATGTAAATATATACTCCTTTTTCTAACCAGAAATGTTTAGATTAGTTCTGTATATAAACAGTATCCGATTATATAAAATATATCTACGGGGAAAGCGTTCCAATCAAAACTCCATGTTCGTTATTTAGGACAGAACTTCATTAGTTCCACAGTTTGCCAAAGCTACACGCTTCTAATAATAAATGAGCCAATAAATGATAGAAACACGGAAGCAACAGAAAAAGAATAAAGGAGAACAGAAGGCCGAGTAAGGTGGAGGAGGTCGGCGAGCGAGTTTTTATTTACGTTAAATTCGCCCCAATTCGCGCCCGACCCGAGCCAATCTATCTGTCTAACCCGAAAAATATAAGCCGTCCGCGGGGAAAAAGTGAGAGAATTAGGGTAGAAAATGAACGGGTACGTAGAGAGAGCTACGTGGAAACATTCGTATCGCTGTAATTACGGGCGAACGTTGTTACGAGATAAATAATATTTGCTCTTCATACGAGTGCCCGGGAGAGTGAGTACGGTACTCTTCAAGTAGGCACTTAGTCATGCCTGTATTCCATTGTCTGACACGAAGCATCTCTTGTCAATCGACCGCCTACTCGCCGCATAATAACCGTAATTTATCTTTTATCAGCTTTCGCCAACAGTCGAGGGTCTCGTGTGTTCCACTGTACACCCCCCTGTCTTTTTCCACCCCCTGCAACCTTTCTCTATTTCTCGTTGGGCTCGAACTGGGTCAGCGGAAATTATCTAAAGCGTCCTAAACCATTTTAAAAATTTGTACGTGACACGAATTTCGAATCTTTCCCCAAAATTGCACGTGTTCTACTTTACAGTTACCATGTCAAGACGTTTTGTTATTTAAAAAATTATTTAAGAATTTCAAAAACTACATCCAGCACGACGTATTGCCACGCAGATCGTTAATGGACACTGATAATATGCTCCTCCTATAATTATCAACGCTAAGGTCCAATGATTAATCGTTTGATCTTAAAAAAAGAAATGAAGGCAGTAACAATAACCAACGAAGAAAGCAGCTGCGGCCGCTGCGGAGCATTTAAAGTGTTCCGGAGATAAAAAGCGGGTAACACGGCCCGACCGAATCAATTAATTTCACTTGCCGGCTGACTACGTGACGTTCATTAATTACGTTGTTCGCGAGGATTCCTCGCGAGTCTAATAAATTCGAATTCGGCTCGGGAACGGCGACTGTCGCTCGACCGTGGGACAGAGGCGGCCGTCGTTAATAATTACGCTCGGTGATTACGCGTATTAAAGATTACTCGGCCGTTGCTTCGACAAGCATTTTATCGATGTTGCCCGTTTGTGCGATTACATATTTCCAGCGGTTGAATAATTCTTGGAAAAATCTGAAAAATAATTATTCGAATGTAAGTTTGACTCAAGAAATATTCAAAGATGACGGAGTTACAGAGTACCAATGAACGGAAAAGAAAAATCTTTCGATTGCGCCATGAATGTAACGCAATACAAACATTCTCTGGACATGGTTTTGATTCAATGAACATTTTCCTCCTGAAACTCCCGAAGGTTTACTACGTCCAGGTCCGTATATGCGCGCGCGCGTTCACGCGGTCGGGCAAGTACACGATATTCGCGACCAGAGCTTTCAAGTTAATTTAACACCAGCTCGTCGAAACTATCGGGGAGAGAAAGAGAGAAAACCAGGAGCAATCGTTTCGGCGTCTACAACCGGATCGATAAGTAACTTCGAATTCAGACTGCAACCCTCTCACCGACGGTATCGCAAAAACGAGGGACGTGAATCTATTTATTTGCTTATTTAGAAATTGAACGGGATTAATTTTAGAGTATATTGCCCAATACAATACGTCAGAGTTGATGGAATTGTAATTAATATTGATCCAACACCACAAATTCGGTATGCTTGACTGTGGATACACATTATAGTTGTATATGCCATATTTAAAGTTTACCGGATTAAATTTATATTTAGACGATTTCGATGCTTGTCTAGGACTGAAAATCGCGGTTGCAAAGTTTTTAACGCAATTGCAGCAACTGTTGGTAACAAGCGTTGATGCGAAACGATAAGAAAGTGGAACCAATTTTCCCGCGACACTTAAAGACGCTGGCACAAGATGAAGATTAACAAGACGGAGCGCACACAATTATAGTTATTACTCTGGTTAACCAGATTTCGTCGTGACTAGCTCATTCTAATAATGGATTGGCGTGTCCATAGCTAAACAAGAACTGTTTTGATTCGAAGACGGTGAAGCTTTACTCATTTTCTAGAGTCTTTGTTAATATAACCCGGCTGTAGTATGCGCAGATTTTCGGTGATATTTCACACATGTTCAAAACAGTTTAATTTATCAGCCAAAGTAAGCTTTACATTAAGAGGACTTTACAATTACAGGATGTTATTTACACAAGTACGACGGAATTGATCGAATTCGATTCACGTCCATTATCCACTTCAATTTATTTTAATCAGCCTTCAGTTAATTTTCCCTCGAAAACAAATAGGTTATCCGAAACAATACAGCGCAACGTACAATTATTAATCTCTATTAATCATCTTCATTCGCAAAGAATAGCGACGAACTCGCAAGTTCATGCAGAACCGCGTAATCCCTAAGATGTATCATACAAACGTTCAAACGTTCGTCGTCGATCTTCAAAAATCATTCTTGAAATCCGTGGCCGCAGAGATACCGAAATCCCCGAATCCATAAATTTATGGCGTTTACATACGTCCCAATTTTGTCGCCCTCCATCCCCAGCTGTCTCCAATAATTCCACGCTTGATCGAGCGCCGGTTTCGGCCGAAAATTCCGTCGGCCAACGTACAATGCAGATCCAGTAGTCACCGACGATCAACAACGGATCGCAAGAGTATTGCAAAACCTGCGCTTAACAGGAATATCGTCGCGATTTGATCCACGGTTAGCAACACGAACGCGACGGAGGGCGTTCTTTAACCGTACACGGAAGAGCTCTGACCTCTTTCTTCTTCGTGCACCGAGTCAACTGTGGAGGGTCCAAATAAATCTAATTTCAAGGGTCACGATTGTACGTTGCATTATATATGTCTCTGTCTGCAAGACATTCCCCTCGGTCGGTCAGTATTTGGACGGGTCCACAAGGAACGGTCTCCGCGAGAGACCACCGACGTCCTTCCGCCGTCTAATTTCCTTTAACGTCGCCCGTTGCGCACGCTCGCGACCAGTGGAAAAATTAGTCGCGGCCGCGATTAAGCGAACGAACCTCCGCCTCTGCAATTTGCGCTGCCACGCCATTTATAATTTAGATATTCGCCGGAGAGGCGGTTTGATTCTCGAGAATCAGAGCATTGTCTGTATTATTAGTCGCGAAGAAATCTCCTCTCTGTTCCTGCTTCTTATTTATTAAACCGTGAAAATGTGATGTCTTGCTGTGATTGCGAGTGAATTATGCTGGGTGATTAACATTTAAGTTGATCGTTATTGGTTGTATGATAAAATCACAGATCTATCTGTTATAGAATGTCGAGGAAGAATATGTAGAGTTTGTAGAGGTTATAAATCATGGATTAGGTAATTGTTAATGGGCAGTTTAAATAGATTCTGTTATATCCAACCACGCGGAAGGAATATTTGTCGATCACCGTATTAAAAAGCGCGATTATTGTTCGACGAACTCTATTGGTAGGCGTGACGGGGCTTGACAGAAGGTCCAGCCCTAGCTGTATTGTCAACAGATCACGACAGCCCTTAACAAGTTGAGTAATGACTGGCGTTTTAGCTACTAAATTATCATCGAGCCTGCTCTCCCCATCCAGCGCAGGCTGGAATGAATGGCGCGTGACACAGAAGAAAGCTACTACACTCGACTATAAATAGATAAACACGGTGTTGGGTATCTTTGGGCAGGAAGGGGTTGGAATCCGCGGTCGGAAGTCGGAGCCTAGAGCACGAACGATGAAGTGATTTTCGAGTTCGTTACACGGCGAGGGGAAGACGAGATTTTGACACTTACGGTCCGGGGTAAAATTAGTTTATACCACTTATGACTGAGTGGAACATCTGTTCGTGTCCATAACTCGGTTCTAACACTTTTAAATCAATGGTGACCTCGAAATTCTGTCGTAAAATAAATCAGTGAAAAAGATGATTTGTACAACGCATAATTTACATGTTATTCAATGATGCGAATAATCATATTAAAGTTTATCAAATAGTGGAAAATAATGTTGCGTGATTACTTCGAAGCGTTTATATAACGAACATTTTGCTTTTCATTTTGTTGCACGCTAAATATAGAATGCAACGAGCGTGGCCCTTATTAAATCACCCTTTTCGAATGCTTCGTATTGACAAGCACAAAAGAAATCCTTTAAACTCCGGCCAAGCGCGCGGATCCTTTCTATTTATTGCCCTCAAACTGTGCGGTCGAACAAGATTTATGACACCTGGAAACCCCGCTCGATCCGTTGCAAATCTATCCGCCGGCAATATTTTATCCGAACATGTACTTTACAGTTTTTTTCCAGAACTTATCCAGGATATCTAGAAATAAGCTTCCTTCCGTATCGCAGCCGTTTTTTTTCCCCCACTCGAATGCATCGTCAGCGACCAACTCGGAAACAATAAACGCTTCTTCCATTACAAAAAGAAGGAATACTACATACATACTATGAAAAAAAACAAATAAAACAACAGAAATTACACTTATCAAGGAGAAATAACATAAATATACTCCCGCTCATAAATATTGGGACACTTATCGAGTATCCAGTAAATGTTACAAGATATTACGAAATTGCTAGAAATCTGAAATAAATACTGTTCAGGAGATATTACAGTAGAATAATCTAAGCTCATCGCGTTTCGTCGCGCACCCCGTAAGATGTTTACGAAACATCACATTTTCTTCATACAGGTGTATATTTATCAGCAGCGATGTATGTAACAATTTAATTCCGTTCAGTGTCTTCTACTTCCGTCCACAACCGTTCCAATAATTTCCAACCTAAACCAATTACGCGTACGCCCACTCGAAACTGAATAACCTCCAAAACTCACAGCCCATAAGTTCGAAGTCCAAGTTGCTCCGAAGAGTCACTCAACTCGTTTGTCCACCAGCAGCACACGCTAAAAGCAACTGGGGCAATACGAATAGGAAGACGAGGCCAGCCACCGGAAGTCAGTAAATACCCCCAGCACTCGTCATTTTCTGGTAGGTTCCTGGTGCGCGCGGGTATGCAGAGATAGAGGACGGCCCCGTGGTTAATTTCGTCTGGCTAGGTGTCTACCAGCAAAAGAGAGACGTAACCACGCGATAATATCGTGTGCGTGGCGGTGGAGGCCCTCACCAAGACGGAATCTCCTGGTGGGTGTACAGAGCAACGGTATGCGCTGCTGGCTCGGAGACGGCACGGACGAGAGGGAACGATGAAACGACAATTACGTTGAAATAGTGCTTCCGCCAGTAGGAGCGCCAATGCCCTCTGCAACTACACCACCCCCACCTCTTCAGCAGCCACCTCCGCCGTGCATTCCGCGTCCAGTAGCGGTCGGCGTGCGTCTTTTATGTTTCGAGCAGGATGCAAACGTGTGCCGTCGCTGCCTCTTTATAAATTCGTCGTTCCGCGGAAGAGACATCCTTGCCGGCCTCTAATGAGAGAGCTCACGCGGGGTTCGAATTGATTTACGGCGACGACGAACGACTCGCGGCCGGAATTAGCGGGACTGGAACCGCGCTTCCGGCCGGAGAAAGTGTTCCGGGTGACGGTTCTTTCTTTCATCGGTTTCGGTGTTATTAGTTTCGACGGGGTTCGTGAAGATTGAAAGATTCAGTGGTATAGGAGCTGCTTTCTTAACGAGGTGTATAGTTAGCTACCAGCTGGTACCACTTTTGGGGAATGTTGATCGCGTTTGATGTTTGAATTATCACCACGTCGTGTATAGTTTCTCCTTTAATTGTGGAATGTATTGGAGTTGATGGATTGCGGTGACACGGTTAGCTATGCCCCTGAATAGGTTATTTGTGTCGTACATTTATCTTGTACATCCAGAAGGACAAAGATTCTAGTGAACATTATAAATCCTGGGCCATACAGTTTTTACCATGACTGTAAATACACCCCTTCATTTAAAGGAATAACAATCACAGTTACGACATAAAATTTAGCGTGACTCGTAGTTATAAAGCTTTCCTTCGCGCCACCCTGCAACAGTCGAACGTAAACGCCGACAATTTTTCTAGCGTGTTCGAGAGCTGTTACGCAACATCGTAATTTTTCGTACATAAAGATCCAAAAGTGTACACCCGCTAATAGTTCCTCGAGCACGGCAATCTGCGCTCCCTTTAATTTTTCCCGCAAGTAACCACAATTAACATCGTTGAAAATATCGCTGTTTTCCGGATGCATCCTTCCTCCCCACCTGCAGGGGATAGAATAGGAAGATTTAATCAAAAGAGAAGCTCTGCCTCGAACGTTACCGCCTATGGTACATCGTGAATTCCCAATTTTCTAATCGAAGGAACGAAACCACCACCATTTTCCACGGTTAAAAGCTTCTCATGCGAACTCGTTGCCCCTCTCCCCCTACAGCAACACCCTCTTAATTAGAAGAAAGCCAGGTGCGAGATAAACCGCGTCCATCTTCAACCGCAGACTTTCGTTCACCGTTTTCTTAGCCCGTGGCCCCGCCTTTTCTTCGACTCTCACCCTTCGATTTCACACCTACGCTTCATCCCCCACCTCCTCCGCCATTTCCGGGTGGAACTCCCTTATTCATCGGGAAAAAGGAACCTCCCTTCTCTCCTTCCTCTTCGTGTTTTTCTTCCCGCCGTCTTACCCTCTGGAACACGGCTCGAAATAAACACGCGCGCGGCCGTTGAAGCAGGCAGCAACCCTCGGCGACTCGTGGACTCGGAAAAAGAGATACACAGAGCGAGGAAAGGGCGACAGGGGGTGGTTGGGACGAGCAAGACGGCGGAGATGGAAGTCATGTAGCAAAAGGTGTGTACATATAGGTGTGTACATAAGGGCGAAGAGTTATGGGCGTACACATGGAAACGTCGCGGCGGTGCGTGACAGATTGGGCGCGAGGGACTAACAAACTCTGCCCGGATATATGTATCCGTCCGCGGACGGCCCACCAATTTGTCGATATTGGCCTTGTATCGATTTGTATTGTTACCGACATCGGTCCGCAAAGTGCCTTCCGGGTGAGGCGTCCAAGGTTCGCTAGCCGATCGTCTCTCGCTGACCTGATGTCACTAGGCTGTATTAGGGATAATGCGGTATCAGGAACGTTCCGATGATCGAGGAGCTTTTGGGGACGGTGAGATTGATCAGTGGGTGTTATGGTTTCCGGGATTTTATTAGGCGAGGTGCGCTTTTGAGGAATGTGATGGAGCGATTTGGACAGCATCGAAGAACCACCAAAGATTGAGGACTTCCATTCGTTTCAGGGAACTCTTGAGTACGGTGAATCAAGGTTCAGCATTTTCGAGACCTTAGGTCCTAAGGGCACCATTTGTATAGTCCTTTTTTCGTTAGAAGGTAAATGTCAAGAGATACAGTACCGGAAGGAAATGTTTTCGTACAAACACCTTTTACCGTAGTATTTCAATTAGGGATACTATTAACGTTACATTCAGTAACCGACGCCCATCTTGCCTAATTCTTGCTTTCTTAGATTGACTACACATTGATATATTTTCTTAGTGACCTCGTTGAACAACTAATTTTTTATAGAATATCTATACCGTTTGCTTCTGGATGTATACGCGTCGAGAAACTATCGATATTGATTCTCCATTTAAACCGTTTATGATTTGTTTCAAAATTTTTAAGAAACTTGTCTCTTATAATCTCAATAAAACTTTCGTCACATCTCTCGTCTTCGCGCAATTTTCCAACGACCCGGCGGAACAAAAATGAAGTATAATAAACCGCCATTAAATAGAAACTTCTTTTTTCCCCTGTTATAAATTCGATATACGTATTTTCACCTCTTTCGTGCTCCGTCCTATTTCGAACGCAACAATAACATCGGGGAACGAGAAGTCCCGAGAAACGGAACGTGTATACTCGCAAAGCGGGGCGAGTTACCCTCAAAAGCAGAAAGTTACCGTACCGCGCGAAAATAACCCCGTTTCGTTCCGCTGGACCGCCCGCGCTTGCTCTCTCTCTCTCGTCCCGAGAGTAAGCCGAGCAGAGAGCGAAGCGAAGCGCGGAGACTGGGCGGTCGGTCGGTCCGACGGTGCAGAATGGTCACGTAATTCTCGCGGAATTATTCCGCCTCAGCCCGCGGACTCGCAGGACTCGTCTCGAAACATTATATTTCCACTCGAAGTTCCGAACTCGGTGCTCCGCGGCTGTTTGCAAGCGCGTTGGTAAATTATCGCCAAGCTGGGCGAGACGGAAGGGTAAAAGAGGGTGGAGAAAGGAGAGAAGGAGAGGGAGGGCTGGACAAAACGACGCTCGCCGTTTCCACCCCCGTCGAAAGTTCTCCGTCGAACCGGCACGGACAAACGTCTTCATCAGCGATCTTAACGAGACATCCCCTGGACTTAATTACCTTCCTCGCCGTATCCGTCGAGTTTTTTTCCTCCGTCTTATTCCGCCACCAGCCTCACCACTCGCGTTTCACGCTTCGTTTCGCCATCGCGACGAAACGAACACCGACCCAACAGCCCCTTCTACCCCCATTCCAAAAACGTGTCGCGCTTTATCGGCCCATAGCGGCGACTAATCTTCGTGGAAAATGTGACACGAGAAAATCAACTAATCCATCGCACGTTTTCTTGTTCTCGTTCCTATTGAGACCGTTATCTAAATGTCCTCCAACAGCATTCACGACAGAGTTCTGGGTTTAGTCCTCGAACGACGACGTTTGTTAGAGGCCTGTAATGATCTCTCGAGGGACTGACGCATCGCACGATGGATGCCATCGCCTCGGCTCAACCCCCCGGACCACAATGCGGCTAATACCGTTTGCGTTTGTGCGCTATTGTACGGCCCGTGACCACACACGCCACCCTTCGTTGCGACTCGTTAGCGCATCGAGGCCGATCGACTGGGAGAACATCGCGGAAATAATCGTGAAGAGGCGTGGAACCATTGTGCTGGAGTATAGGGGATTTGGAAACTGGTATCGTTAAATACTAATACATATGTCCCCCATCTGTCAGGTGTAAATCAGGTATTATGTACATCTTATATTAAGTACGCAAAAAAAAAAGAGTTCAGACGTCATCCCCACCATTGACTAATTCCACGGGGGACATCTTCAGTGGTGGGAATATATCTGAACACTCAGTGCCGAGAAGATTTCGAACACTCATCGATAATTTACTGCATACAAGATGCCAAAAAACTATCGATAACGCACCATTTATCTAATTTTCTAATTATTCCGACTATATGTACAAACACGATCGTTGTTTCTTCTCTTCAACCACGTCTCGAAAAAGTATGGACAGGGAGGTCCATTCGGGGGCGGCAACTGTATCTCGGAAGATAACAAGGCGACACTCCGATCATTCGTAAAGCTGTCAGTCGAGCAATATATCAGTATCCTTTTTAGTCGTTACCGTGACACACCCTTCCGAAGCGACTCGAAGCACCGTCGGGGACAAGTACCAGGCGGAGAAGAGACAGGAGAGACCGAGGCTTGGCCCCGACGATGCACGCTAAACGACATACACACACAGACACACAAAGGCGCGTGTTCGCCTCGACAGACAGTGTGGAGCGTGTGTATACGAAGTGGGCACAAAGCGGCAATACGGAGAGGCTTTTCGGCGCAACTGCACGGTCGTTAGTTAGTGAGCATTCATCATCGTATTGTTATCGTTAGCCACGGTCTTCTACGGTTATTCGAGCCGCCCCATCGAAATCACAATGCGACCAGATGCAGCACAGAACGCGGCACCGATAGGTTTTCTTCATTGTACGCACTGACGGTACTACTGCTGCTGCCTCCACGATTCCCTCTATTCCCTTTTTTGTCCGGCTGTCTGACTGTCTGTCTGCCTGGCCCTGGTCCGCGAAAGGGTACGCACTGTGTTGTCTGCTGGATCAATGAGCCGATTTCCCTCGACGAACTAAATAATCTGGCCTTGAGCACAAAGATGTTTTTCGGGACTCTCATTGACTGGGCTCCTGTAGGTCAAGTGACCGGGTTTCAACCCTTTGGGTCTGGGTTACGTTCGAATGCGGTAACTGGGTTGAGCTATAGTACATCGGACAACCATTGGAGGAAAAGATTGAATGAGTACAAAGAATGGTAAGAGTTCGTGGATGCGCTCCGATGATCCTGAAGCTATTCTCATGGTAATTTATCTGGCTCGAGGTTGCTTCCTTTCACCCATCTGCATTACATTATCCAGTACAACGTATGTTTTGGTAATTTTTGTCTCCTTGACAGTCCGTGTGAATGGATCGTTATTCGTGCGAAGTATATGAACTTGAACTATAAAAAGCGAAAACCGTACCTTGATGATTTATAACAGCTTGCAAAGTGTCTTCGTGGAGACCAGTTTAGAACAGCGGCTAGGGTACAGTGTTCAACGAGAGTAAAATTGATGTAAAGTCGGGTACTCGTTAATAACACTCCCGCCCATTTTTTTATATCCAGTTTCTCTGAATAAGAATCCATAATCAGCAAGGAAGCCGCCATGTTATTTATGCAACCTGTTCCAGGCTGATTCAACTTGCCGAAAAGTTAGCATACTTTTCCGAAGCGAGAGGGGGTTGGAGGGGGTGGGGGTGACGGCATACCGGTATAACGGGGAATAGCGCTGGTACTCGTTGCACCCTGCCGATGGAACGGAGGGGTGCAGCTTTCAAAAGAAACTTCTTTATTTCCGGAGAAAATAAATATTTGACCGGGCCAGACACCGGTTCAACGGGGGAGAACTCGAATGGCTCCTTTCATTCTTAACGAGTGCGGCCCCCTGTTCCCGGAGGTACAGACATGGTGTTGTCACGACGTTGCCTTTTCGACGATTAATTCGCTTCTGCGCAACCCAGCGATGGGGATGTTTCGAGTTCTAAGATGTTGACTTTGAGGGAAAATCTCCGAAAACTTCGGGTTCATTAATTTTAAGAGATGTTCAAGGATGCCCATAATACTGAAGATAATTTAAACACCATAATACTGGAAAATGTCGATGATTCGGAAAGATCGTATTTTACTGACGAATATTTTCATTAATTCCAGTTTATCATTCGCTGGAGCAAAGTAACCCCCGTAAACGACATTATAATTTAACCTGATAATCCTGTAATCCTGCAGTAGATTTCGAACTGGTTTAACGAGAGTCTGCTTTCGAAAATTATAGTTTTAATCTTTTTTCATAACTGTCCCCCCAAACAGCGAGCCCCCTTGTATATAGAGACACAGATGGCCACCCCTCTTGAAGCAGGCAATAGCCATCGTCTCCACGCGGACATAATTTAACCCTTCATCAGAAAATGTTTAGCACTACGGGTGTGTTCCAAAACGATATAGTCGAGTCTCCGTGTAATTCTTCCAGATAAAAGTCGTCGTTTGTACTCCGTGTAATTTCCAGTCGCGCCTGCGAAAAGAGGGGTTAATATCGTGGCACAATTTATCACCTCGCTACGTTCGTCCCTACCCCACTGAAAATACTGAATTCGAGAAAGCTCGGAGGAGCTCTTGATACCTCGGAAAACCTGAAATACCTTCGTACGCGATCATTCGTATTGTATACATTTCATTATTCTTCGGGACGGGGGCGCTTTGAAGTCCTGAAACAGTTCGGTTTCGCTCCTTCTCTCTCTCTCTCTCTCTCTCTCTCTCTCTCTCTCTCTCTCTCTCTCTCTCAAACTATTCCATCCCGTTACATGCAGAACGGTATCAGCGGGAACTAGGGCAGACCGGGATACGGGAACACCGGGAAATCCGAATTTAAAAGCGCCCCAGAAAGAGCACACTTCCCGGTTCCTCGAGCTTCGCCCAGGTTTATCCTCTCGCTCCTCGTTCCCTCGAAAAAATCAGGAGAAATGCGCTTCCCGCGCGAGGATCGCGGCCGAACGAGATTTCGGCGCGAGAAATATCGTCGGGAATAGAAATTGTGACAACCTCTTTGGCTTTAAATGCGTTACAATCCCCCTCCTTGATTCTGAAATGTTGGAACTGGCTGTCGCGCTGGATTCGCGAGATTCCCCGGGAATTACGTTTCAGAAACTCAGGACTGTTCGATTGTAATTCGTGAATGTTTGAATTTTAATAAAAAGTTTGTCGGAAGGGAGGTGTTATTGTATTATTATAAATTAACTGAAATAAAACTAAATATGGAACACGCGAGTAATTGTAATAATCATTGTTAATTAAAAATGCAAAACAGAAATATTTCGCAGCAATTTTCGCAGATTATTCTCTTCCATCTTTCCTCGAATCCAATATTTGAATCCACTATTCAAAATCCTGTGTTTCAGTTGTTATTTAAACTTAGACGGGAAGCGACACGGCTCGTTTAATAGAATCAATAATTATGTCTCGACGGAGAAACTGAATTTCGAGACTCCGTTGGCGAAAGCTGGAATAGAGAGGACCAGTTGAACGGATAATGTTTATCCTCATCGAGGGTAAAAGCTTAAGGGGCCAAAGGAAGAAAACGGGCGGCGAGGGAGAGGAAGAGAGAGGATTTTTATTTCAATCCTTCGCCGGTGGCTTCCGACAATCCCTTTCCACCGGGCAGGATACCATTTTTCCAACTTGTTTTGGACTGTTCCAGGTACGGTCGACGGCTCGACGGTCGATGGCCGACCTCGTTGAAACGTCGAATGGATTGACCCAGTTTCGGTGGGGGCCAAGTAATGCTCACAGATAATGCGAGAGTTTTCTCATTTCTGCGACGCCGTCCCTCTGGCAGATAAGGAAAGCTGCTCCTCCTCCTTCTTAATTTCTGATGTCTTTGCCGGATAGATCCGGCCAAACTTTTTATTGCCATTTATCGCCCGTAACCGCGTTTCCACGGGGCAATAAGCGTCTGCTGATCTGTTTGCTCGCTGATTGTTTGTTATACGTGGCTTTAAGTGGCTCCGTTATATCGTGGTCGTTGCAGGAGATCCTCTCTGGCCCCCTTTTAACTCGTCTCTATAGTGTTCCGTGTGTACCTTACGCGTTTGCTTGGTATAAATAGCGTTGTCTACCTTGAAAAATGAGCGTAGTTATATCTGGTGCAGTTTCTTCTGTGTTCACGAAAGTTTTTAGTTGAAAATTTCATGAATTTTGTTATTTGGCCAGTTGAAAAACTTCAGAACCTTACTTCGAGAATAGATGTTTCGAAGTTCAAACTACGTCTACCTAGATCACAATTTGTCCGGATGAAGATCCTTATTACTGTCGTGATTTAAGCATCGTAACTCATCTGATTTCAACTTACAGAAACTCGACTATCTGAACCACAATTCGTAGGATTGGGAAGGCACGGACTGCAACTCGCGGGCTCGTAATTATCGTGAATGTAAAGCAGGCACGATCGCAACTCGTGCGACCGTAGTACCGAACGCTTCAACCACTCGATCGCAACTCATAGGATTGCAACTATTCGGACTGAAACTCGAAGAATTACGACCATTGGAATTGCAACTATTGGGATCAAATTTCTGGGATAGTCGGCTGCTTCGTTCGAGATAATGAGACTAAAATGAACCGTAATCTGTCAGTTTGAAATATAATGTTCAAAAACAATTGCATAACACTTCTGAAATGTACTGACGGATTTTTTCCTATTAAGGCCCCTTCGAATTTTCCACTTTTGTGATAATAATTGTAGTTTCATTACCATCAAATATAATGATTAATAAACAAGTTAATAATGTATAATATCTAATTGGTTACAATTCACTGTCAAGTAATCTACAAATCTAACACAAACGCAATTAAGAACATAATACAACTCGGAGACGAGTATGATACACAGACGAAACACTGCAGAGACATTCTCGCTATCGAAACCGTTTCCAACGGAACGAAATAATTCGTCTCGTCTTTCCAAGTTGTTCAATCCGCATCCAAGGCGTCCAACGCCCCAGGCGTCCCCGAAATGCTTCATTCCATCCCGGTCGAGGAGATTCGCGATTTTCCCGCCCGATGAAATCGCGATAACTCGATTCAGGGATAAGCAGTATTCCCCGGCAGACGACGCAAAGATTTATTCCGGTTTCCCCCGGGTCGAGATCCGTCAGCGCCGAGCGTTCACGGGAATTTCGACGATTGCTCTCGAAATACTGGCCTGCGGATCGATCCCGCCTGGGATCGTATTTGCGGGAACGCGCGCCGTAAGACCCGTCACCGTTTGCGAACCGAACGTGAACACGTTTCGAGAAGACAAAACAACTCGGAGGATCGCCTTTGTTGCGATGGTGAGCGGCTTTCGACCAGCGCGGAAACGGAAGGCTGGAGAATATTTCAAGAAAGCCAGGCTCTTGTGTACCTGTCCTCCATCTCTACGTCTATTTATGCGACCGTCACGATTTATTCCGCGTCGCGACGCTCGTTGTCCTTTTCGAAAAATTTTCCTAGTCGTGTTTCGAAGCGGTTGGAACTCACTAAATCCTGATTCATGCAGGGTCAATTTGTCGAGAATACAGGGTGGACCACGAAACGTGATCAGCTTAAATTATTCTACTGCTAGTTATTCGATCGACGTTTGTTGGTTAGTTTATCATGATTCAAGGAGAGCTTTAAGAGTAGTACCAAATTTTTTGTCAACCCCTTTTTTTCAGAATTTCGATGGTCAAGATTTTCAGAAGAAATGTGTTTTGTACTTGCAATACTGTTACGTTACCAGTACTATTGCAATATAACAGCAACAGTCTTGTAATATAGGTAGTAATCTTCTGTTCTTTCGTGCGCTGTCTAACGAGCGTACGTCTCGTCCGATCGACTGCAAATCCTATCGAGGCGGTCTCTCAATTTTCAACTCCCCCCTTTGGAAACCTACTCCATCATCCCCCTCCACAGTTTGATATCGAAACAGCGTGATTACACGCGAGCACGATGATCGTATCCGCGCTTCTTCCCGCGGTCAGATTTCCAATTTCTGCCAGGGAAAGTTCGCAGGGCAAAGACGACCGCTGCCAATCCGTCCGCTGGATTTTGGCGTCTGACTGCCGTCAAGTAACTTCACTGCGTGCACTGTCACATCGATGCACACA